TGTGTTTTTAAGCCCCAAAAACGCTGTCACCGTCTAAACGAAAGGCACGTCTGATAAAATATTTTTGTCATTTTTACCCGCAAGAGTTCTCGTGTAAACAGGCCCTCAAACTGAAATTTTGATTCATCTTGCAGCGCTATACTAGCCAGGCTGGTGCCACCTACTGCCTACACTCAATTTAATTTCTCTCCAGCAACTAGGTCAGGAATCAGAATACACTAGATCAGGGGTCTCCAACTTTTGTCCTTGGGTGAGCTACCTTTACTAAAAAAAAATGCCAGAGAGCTACTCATTTTAGAGACTGCAAGAAATTGAGACGATTAAAAGAAAGAGGGTGAGCCTTTGGGTAGAGTTAGACGCCTATAAAACATCAACTATTTTCCATTTATTAGTGCACAAACTTGGACTTCAAAATTACACATGCCCAGTACAAGGCAAGTAATTCACTTTTCTTTTTTTGTTGTTGTTATTCAGCACAATGGTTTGATTCCGAAAATCCTTTGGTGAGCTACTTTTAAGGGGGTGGAGAGCTACTGGTAGCTCCTGAGGTACAGGTTGGAGACCCCTGCACTAGATGGTTCGCAAAAACCCCGGAAGAGCAAGTTCGGGCACCAGCCAATCAGCGAAGAGCCATATATTCAGTGTTGTCAACGATTCCCGAGATCGAGGATTTAAAGCCGGAACAAAGAGAATGTTTGGTGAATTTCATAAAAGGGAAAGACGTTATTGTCCTTCTTCCTACGGGATTTGGGAAAAGCTGAAGTGAAACCGACTGATGAATCAGAGTAGCGCTCTACTGCAACACCCACTGTACCACCTGAGCCACCGTCGCCCCAAACTAACACACAAAACACCAGACAATTTTTGCTCTACTTTCTTGCCAAGTACCCCAATCCCTCATGCCTCTCCTCCCCCTCCTTCCCTCTCTCCCTCCCTCCTCCTACACTGTACCTCTCCACTCATGTCCCGTACCCACTAAACAAGAGTTCTGTGGCACCGTCGTTACCGCAGCTTTCCGGGAGGTGACTTATTAAGATGTATGCTTCGCCGGCTGCACCCAAAGGAGAGGACCCACACCGAAGAGCTCACTTCAAAATGTGAATAATTAGGATGGATGGGTGCCCTGGGGGAGCGGCCCGTAGCACAGTCCTGGATGCGCATTAGCGGCGTGTTGAGCGGGACAATGACAACAACAAATGGGGCCCATATGCCACCAGAGAAACGAGGGAAGAGAGAGGAGAGAGGAGGAGAGGGGGTTTCTACGGGAGGCACAGAGGAGGGGTTTGGTTAGCTGGTGTTGGAGAATCATGTTGGTTTTAATGTTAGAAAGAAAGAGAGAAGGAGAAAGAGAGAGTGATGGAGAGAGAGGAGAGAAAGAGAGAGAGAGGAGAAAAAGAGAGAGGAGGAGAGAGGGTTTCTACAGGAGACACAGATGAGGGGTTTGGTTAGATGGTGCAGGAGAATCATGTTGGTTTTATTGTGAAAGAGAGAGAGGGACAAAGACAGAGTGATGGAGAGAGAGGAGAGAAAGAGAGAGAGAAAGAGAGAGAAGAGAGGGTTTATACTGGAGACAGAGACGAGGGGTTTGGTTAGCTGGTGTTGGAGAATCATGTTGGTTTTAATGTTAGAAAGAGAGAGAGAAAGAGAGAGGGAGGGGGAGAAAAGACACACAACTCACAATATGTTATGACGGGATGGAAATACATGTGATTATCGATACACTGCACATGATGTTGTGAGATTATTTATATATATATATATATATATATATATATATATATAATATATATATATATAAACGTGAGATTGACAGGTGGATCGGTGCAGTGTCTGCAGTGATGCGGTCGCTGTATCGGACCGTTGTGGTGAAGCGGGAGCTGAGCCGAAAAGGCGAAGCTCTCGATTTACCGGTCAGTCTTCGTTCCTACTCTCATCTATGGTCATGAGCTCTGGGTAGTGACCTAAAGGACAAGATCGCGGATACAAGCGCTCGAAATGAGTTTCCTCCGCAGGGTGGCTGGGCGCTCCCTTAGAGACAGGGTGAGGAGCTCAGTCACACGGGAGGAGCTCGGAGTAGAGCCGCTGCTCCTCCACGTCGAGAGGAGCCAGCTGAGGTGGCTCGGGCATCTGTTTCGGATGCCTCCTGGACGCCTCCCTCGGGAGGTGTTCCGGGCATGTCCCACCGGGAGGAGGCCCCGGGGAAGACCCAGGACACGCTGGAGGGACTACGTCTCTCGGCTGGCCTGGGAACACCTCGGGGTCCCCCCGGAGGAGCTGGAGGACGTGTCTGGGGTGAAGGAAGTCTGTGAGTCCCTGCTTAGACTGTTGCCCCCGCGACCCGGCCCCGGATAAGCGGAAGAAAATGGATGGATGGATGGAAAATTATGCATTTGACGAGTTTTGTATCTATGGATCTCTTCATTGGTTTTAAAATAAAATGTGAAATGTTCGGGGATCGTTGTTGAATTGTAAAGAATTTTATACATAAAAATACAAATCTGATAAATATTAATCTCATAAATATTAAGAATGTTACGTTTGGTGAATAAATGAGCAGATGATGTCTAACTAACTAACAGAAACTGTAAACAAGCAGGTGTGTTAGTTTCAGTTATTTAGCTCCTCCCTGCAGATATAAGGAAGTGTCCACCAGCGTCTGACCAGAACTGAAGAACAAGCTTGGATGAGCTGCAAAACTGAATTTTTTCTCTTCGCCAATACTGCATCAACAAATTTAGAATCACAATATGTCGACGCTTCAGTATTTTTGCACATCCTCATTTTTATCATTATTAAAGACTTGAGTTTCCTGTAGTCTGTTACATAAAGTGAGCTCACCCAAAGAAAATACATCTCTATTTTTATATTTAGCCAAACGCCTGTATAACTCTTAAACCCTTTTTTCTTTCGCTGCTGCATGTCTCACTCTGCCTTTGCCGGTGGTAAAGTCATCCCCTGCTTTCCCACAGCGGATATATTTTTGTTATGAAATCAGCAATGACAAGTCCGCTCCGATAAACTCACATAGATAAAGCTCAAAACTACACACGTCCTTTAGGCCCGTCGGCCCGGTGCGTAGCTTTAAATGCGGGTTTGCTCCTTTCACAGGCCAACAATCGTGAATCATTGTCTCTCCGTGTAATGCTCCAGACGCACCGGTGTCTCTGCAGGCGTAGCAAGAGTTCAGCGCGCTCCACTCATGCATACCATTCAGCGAGCGTCCATGGACCAGACCTGGGAGGACCAATGCGCTGTGTGTAGGTGATGTGTGAATTACAATGAGGATGAATCACTAAATAAAGGTGAGCTCCAGGCTAGACATGAGCTGGCGGTGAAATAAAAGACAATTGACCTCTGTGTTAGTAATAAAGCCAAACATGACTAATAGCAATAAAATTTACCTAATGAGAAGTAAAGTAAAGGCCAAAAGCTCCAAAAGTACATCTATTTCTTTTTTAAAATCATCATATTGTGACCTTTTCTTTTTAAAATGGCGATATTATGCCATTTTCTTATTGGTTTCTCTTCAAAAACAGACCTGGAGTTGTGTTTTGTTTCATTCACACATGTTTAACACACAAATCTCTGTTCCACCATGTGATGTCATGTGGTAATGAGTGCACCACTTCACACTCACTAGAATAATTTTGATGATTTCAGCCCTAGAATTGCCAGTCACTACTGAACTAAAGGTAAAATGTTGCTGTTAACTTGAAAACGACAGCTTCATGACAAGGTGGAACAGAGCGTTTTGAGCTTTGGAGATGAAATATGTGTGAATGAAACAAAACACAACTCCAGGTTTCTTAGGCTATGTTTACACGATGACAGTCTGAACAGAAGACACAAAAGTTGCGTTGTGTCTTCTCTTTTTATTCTGCATTTGGACAAGTGTCGTCAGGAGGAAATCTCCTGTATGCAGTGACACAAAAGTGTGTGGGATTCGATTGTGGTGATGTATGTGACGTAAACGTGTATGTGATCTGACCAGAGTTTTGCGTCTTGGGCAGTGTAGACGGAAACGTTATGGCAGAGCGTATTCAACTTTTCCACTCAGGAGGGTGGTTTCAGATTTTTGTGTTTTTAAGCCCCAAAAACGCTGTCACCGTCTAAATGAAAGGCACTTCCAATAAAATATTTTATATGTGTCCACACAAAAGTTCTCATGTAAACAGGCCCTTAAAGCGCATCAGATGATGAAGGGTAAACGTCACTTCCGGTTAATGATTTTCTATGGCAAAATATCTGTGGAAATGTATTGTGTATTTTCAGCCAGCTTTATGAATCTGTCCCATCACCAAAACAACTAGGTTGGTTAAAATAATAATAATAATAATAATAATAATAATAATAATAATAGCCTGCAATGTCTAAAAACAAATGGTTGATGAAGTCTTTGAAGAGTAATCATCATATTTATAGATATATTGCACTTTTGAACCTCCCCTTGTCACTCAAAGCAATTATTTAATATTACATAATATCATATTATATCAAGGAACCATCAACCCACACAGTCATACACCATAGTACACACACACACACACTGGACAATAGGGGGATAAAGTGTGTTGCTCGAGGACACAATGGCAGATTAAACTGAAATCCTTTGGTTTAGTGGGCAAAAATTCTTTAAACTGAGCTACTGTATATTACTAATTTGTATTTTTCTAACCTCTAATATGCGTTTTTAAATGGAATAGTCATAATATAAATGCAATTAATAATAAAGATGTTTAAGTTAGTTTAAGTTTTTATTTCTGTAAAACAAAATACCATTTCATAATTTATATTTTAACAACGTAAAACACAATAATAATATAATTAATTTCAGCTTAAACGTTTCGTAATTTTTTTTTTTTTTTTTTTTTTTCTGGGTCCAGGACCGTGATGTGGCTGTGTCATGCCGGTTCCTCTGATTGACGTAGTTTCCTCTCTGCTTATGGACGTTGTAGTCCTTCGCTCAATCCGCTCCCGTTGTTTTTTTGCGACGGAGAACTACACTACCCACAATCCACCGCGCTCTGATAAACTTCTGTTGATATGCCGACTGGGAGCTGCATGCGCCTGTCAGTGCACTGTACGCAGCGTTTTGACAGGTAATTCAAGAGATATAAACTCTTTATCGTGATTTAACACAACATCCACTATTCGCAGCCCCGTGTTAAACTATTTCGTCTTGATAAACATGAAGAAATCCGTAGTTAATGTAGCAAACATAACGGGATGCTATGTAATGAGCTAACAACTAGCATCCACAAGTTTCGCTTTCCTGAGCATCAAGTGCATCAGTGTTACAAAATCCAACAAGAATACGAAACACACGCACTTTAATCTGCATAAACTCAACATTTCGCGTATGGAACTGTTTGATAATCACGTATAAAGCGTCAAAAAGTGTAATACGGGCTTAATATGCAACTGTTTACAAATATAAATCGCATCATTAAACAAAAAGGCCGTTTCTAATTATAATTTATAGCTTTACAAAACATAATGACACTGATTTCTTACCCGTTCGTAATTATATTTAAGCATTGTTAATTGTTCTGTTGTTTTTTATCAATTTCCAAAGCAATAACAAAACTTCAAATACGTAGGTTAACAATTATAAAACACATTATTGAGTAATAAATCTACAGTTTGTACAAGACTGGACTTTAAACCCATAAAACAGAACATTTTTATACATGAGGGTTAAAATGAGTGTTTGATCTATGTTGTAATATCGTTTCCTCATCACAAACAGACGTGGAGTTTTGTTTTTTTTCTTCTTTCGCTCAGGTTTAACACACAAACCCTGCGCATTTAACAATGAATTGTACAAGAAATTCTCTGTTTTGTGTGAGACCATGTGCATAGGTTGCGAGGTGAGAGTAGCTCAATGTCGAGGCCCCACCTCTCACCCCCGGTAAGGTGTCTGGGTTTTCACAAACGGAAATATGGTCACTAGGGATGGGCATGATTAATCGATTAATCGATAATTGATCATTAAGAATTTCATTGATTACGTTAATTTTAATGGACAAACCGAATGTAGGTTGCTGTGCGTGACCAAACAGGGGTCTGTACATGTAGCTCTCTGTGCATCAGAAGGAGCGAGACACAAAAAATCGGTCAGTCTGCAACGTACCGAAGCACAAATGCGTATTTAACGATGACCTGTACAAGAAATTCCACACTTTCCGTTGCGTTCGGGACAAGTGTGAGTCCATGTGCACAGTGTATAAAGCAGCACATATGTTTCTGTGTCCAGTGGGAAAAAGTTTTTCCAGGTGAGAGTCGCGCAATGTGGATGACGAGGCCCCACCTCCCTCCCCCCGTACGGTGTCCTGGTTTTGACAAACACAAATCTGGTCACACTAACCTGTATTCCACTGAGTCGTGTCTGACAGAAATTGACCGCATCAGCGACACAAGAGCTGTAGTTTTATCTTCTCTTAGTTTATGCAAATTAGTGATGCGGTTTTAAGTTTTGTTTCTGTGAGAGTTGTGCAAAACTGAATTAAACACATTATAATGTCAAACGGGCTGATGTGGCTCTAGAGTCGTTACGGTTTATATGTCGTAAAGTTGAATTTATTTATGCAGATTAGTCGTGCAGATAGTAATAATAATAATGATCATTTTAATATAAAAACGTTAATGATTAATCGATAATCAATGGTTAATTCTTTCGACGATCGAGTAAGAAAATTTCATCGAATGCCCATCCCTAATGGTCACCCTAGTATATATTTTTTTGCCTGTGTCATGTCCTGTGCTGCTGATCTTGCACCGGTTTTGTCTTCCTCTAATCAACTTCGGTCTCTACTATTGGTTGGTGTGTTTTACTTAAAGGCCACGCCCATGTTCTGTTTTTAACTAAGCCCTGATGAAGACTAGTTTGGTCAAAACATGTTGGCCTTGGCCATTTAAATAAAGGCCTTTTAACTATATTTTTCCTCGTGCAATTTTTACGTCTTTGGAGTGCCTGGAGTCCGTTATGTTTTAAGCTACACCTTTGTTGCTTGTTTAGAGGAAGAAAACTCATTTATGCTGCAAATTTGATATTTTCACTGTTTTGATGATTAAAATGTTTGTGTTTCATATGAACTTTGCACAAAAAGTGGTTTAACAAAGACTTTTAGTATCACAGACATGATTTAGCCTTTATTTTTTATTGAACCGTATCGAATCGAATTGATAGATGATATATTGAATCATATCGAATCTTAAACTCACTGCATCGGAATGTGTATCATATCGTGGCCTATGTATCATATCGGCAACTTCTGAATGATAACCAGCCCTAATCGTATTGTTTAATGTATTGATATCGTGGGCTGCTGTATCAATATATATCGCCAAGAGTGTTTTTTGGTCTATTTTACTCAATTATTTTGTTACAGCCACAGTTTTGTTGCTTGTTTAGAGGAAGGAAAATCATTTATGCTTTCAAATTTGACATTTTCACCGTTTTGATGATTAAAATGTTTGTGTTTCATATGAACTTTGCACAAAAAGTCGTTTAACAAAGACTTTTAGTATCACAGACATGATGTAGCCTTTATTTTCTATTGAACCGTATCGAATCAATTTGAAATAGTTCGTATTGAATCGAAAGTGCACTGTATTGAGATATGTATCGTATCGGCAACTTCTTAATGATACCCAGCTCTAGTCATGTGATAATACAGGAAGCGCTCCAGCTCCTCTGTGTTTTTAAACTCCTTACATCGTCACTAGAGTCATTATGAGGATTTCTCCCCTGGAACTGCCAGTCTATTAAACAAAAGCTAAAAGGAGCTGTTAATCTGAAAACTACTGCTTGATGACATCAGAAGGTGGAACAGAGCTTTGGAAATGTAGACAGACTAATAAAAAAGGATTACTCAAATATGTGTGAATGAAACAAAACACAACTCCAGCTCTGTTTTTGAGGAGGTAACGACGTTCTAACATGATTTAAAGCTCACGAGAGTCAATTTTGCGTAATAGAACCTTCAGTAAACAGTTAAAGTGGACATTTTTTTAAATTTCGAAGTAGAAAAGGTGCGTTCTCACTCTTTTTGGGATATAACTGAATGACTTGTCTTTACGTTTATTTGTATCTCACAGTGTGGTGTAGTGCCGGTCCTCCTTGTGTGAGCAGTTGAGTGGGAGAAGGATGGTTCCTCCTCCTCGTCTCACTGGAGCCCTCAGGTCCTTCTCTGGACTCTGTAAAAAGGAGGATCCCTCAGAAAAGCCTGTCGACCTCAAGGTAAACCTGAAAATATTCTGGAAATGCAAAATGTATAGTGTAATGTGCTAAGATATGACAATGATTCGTGATACATTTATTGTGCTATAGAGTTGTTGTCTCATTTGGACATCTGTTTTAGTCCTGTTCTAGTCCTGTTTCAGTCCAGGTTTAGTCCTGTTTTAGTCCTGCTTTATCCCTGTTTTAGTCCAGCTTTAGTCTTGGTTTTGTCCTGTTTTAGTCCTGTTTTAGCCCAGGTGTAGTGCTGGGGTCCTGCTTTAGTCCTGTTCTAGTCCTGCTTTAGGCCTGTTTTAGTCCTGTTCTAGTCCTGCTTTAGGCCTGTTTTAGTCCTGTTTTTGTCCTGCTTTAGTCCTGTTATAGTTCTGCTTTAGTCCTGTTTTAATCCAGGTGTTGTTCTGCTTTAGTCCTGTTTAATCCTGGTTTAGTTCTGTTTTAATCCAGGTGTTGTCCTGGTTTAGACCTGTTTTAGTCCAGGTTTAGTCCTGTTTTAGTCCAGGTTTAGTCCTGGTTTAGTCCAGGTGTAGTCCAGATTTAATCCTGCTTTAGTCCTGTTTTAATCCAGGTGTTGTCCAGGCTTACTCCTGTTTTAGTCCTGTTTTAGTCCTGTTTTAGTCCTGTTTTAGTCCTGGTTTAGTCCTGGTTTAGTCCAGGCGTAGTCCTGCTTTAGCCCAAGTTTAGTCCGGTTTTAGTCCTGCTTTAGTCCTGTTTTAATCCAGGTGTTGTCCTGGTTTAGTCCTGGTTCAGTCCTGCTTTAGTCCTGCTTTACTCCTACTTTAGTCCTGTTTTAGTCCAGGTTTAATCCTGCTTTAGTCCTGTTTTAGTCCTGTTTTAGTCCTGGTTTAGTCCAGGTTTAGTCCTGTTTTAGTCCTGTTTTAGTCCTGGTTTAGTCCAGGTTTAGTCCTGGTTTAGTCCTGGTTTAGTCCTGGTTTAGTCTTGGTTCAGCACAAATCATTTTGCAGCATTCACATAAGTAAAGACACTTGAGAATTAGAATATTCTGGTCTATTTTAAAAAGGAGAATCCCTCAGAAAAGCCTGTCGATCTCAAGGTAAACCTGAAAATATTGTGGAAATGTATGTAAAATACTTAAAAAAAAAAAAAAACTCTTGGCAACATCGAAACTCTAAATCACAGTCGCATTAATTGGTCCACAATACAGACGTTCATGTTACTGCCACATGATTCTGCTAAATATTCATCACAGTTTGTTTTTAAATTGTATTCTATATTTGTAAAAAGGCCAATATGAATTCTTATGGTGATATTTTCTGTAGCAGTATATAACAGCCAGGTCCCGTCATCTGTGCAGCGTCCGTAGGAAATCAGCCGTCAGTCTGCAGGACCAGCATTCATCAGCTACGTACACATCATTTACTTTGATGTGGCAGCGCAAAAACTCGACTGTGGCACAAATGAAGGTTCTCGCGTCTGTTGGGCTAAACAAAACTGCTCCATTCTTTGCAAATGACAGAAAAGGTGCGCAACATCTAAAAGCCCACAGCTCTTTTGTATTACGAGGTTTCAGATGAGATCACATTCGCGGGATTCTTTAGGCCGATAAAAGGCGGATTTTCATTGTAATTCTGTGAGTTCTCGGGTCTCGTCGCTAATAGAAATGATCAGGTTCAGTGTGCGGGTTCACCTTTTAGATATTGTATAGCAAAGTACAACGTAATCAATAAGAAACTCTGCCTCTTGACCCCATCTGCCCACATTCTTGAATCTTGAAAACAAGGCCTGTAGCGATCGTCAATGAATCAGTTAATTACGCGGTTTAACGAGCTCAATAACTTTTCCGGCCGCGATAATTTCTATTTGCGTGCTTGTTTGTTTTCCTCGTCTCTCTCTTTCGCTCTCTATCAAAGAGTCTGAATGTCAAAAGGCTTCTGTCGCTCTCTTGACTCCTCTCTCCAACGTCTCAGCATAGACCATTTGTTTATCGACACAATGCACGTCATTTTGTTCGTATTAATCCGCTCTGCAGGATCATATTTCGCTATTTTGTCCATCAGAAAGTCATAATCACAATATAGAAACTGGCTCTTTGCTTAGCCCACTTTTTTATACAGGGATTATCTTTATGAGATCCGCATGTCTCCTGCAGAAAGAGCCGCTGTCCGGTCTGGTATCATGTCGGTGTTTTGTGGGATTTCAGTGGATTTCGGGCTCTCTCGGGGGCGAGTTGTTTCTGTCGGGTATAAGTGTATGAAACGTATCCCACTCACTCGTGTTGATTTAGCGTCATGATTTGTTTTGTCACATGGCATGAACTCTTTTGGTTTGGTTGTTTTGTTTAAAGCACAGTTTCGACTACTCACAAACGGTCTTCCTCAGAGTGGTCACGTGATGTTGCTGTGACGCGTCGTATACCGATTTTTCCGGGCTAATAGACGCGCTCTTAAGCGTCTAACCCCATCAAAAAACAGCGGCGCGCCCCACAATCCAGAGCGCCCTATACACTAATCCACTCGGGTGTCCCAGCACAACTTCAGTAATCTACAAAACCGCACCACCCACAGAACATGCAAACACACACGGAGCAGACAGCGACCACACGGCGAAAAACACCCACAGACACACTCATCGCTCGACACCGACGAGGAACGGAACGGAGGAACGAACCGAAAAAGCGAGTGCAATGTGCCGCTTCTAGACACGACTGAACAACTGAGTCACTGCGAACACGCCGACAATCCAGCGGTCCCAGACAGCACCCTCCCTACACGCCACAACTGAACAAAGCCCAGAGTCACCGTGAACGCCACAAACAAACAAAACCACTGACCCATCCAACTGTTGTGTTTCGTTTACCGTCCGGTGCGGTTTATTTGTGAAAAAAAGTTTGAAAATAGACCATTTAATGACAGTGCGCCTTATAATCCAGAGCATCTAATAGCCCGGAAAATACGGTAAATCAGCTGACCGACTCTTCACAGCAACATCACGTGACCACTCTGAAGAAGACTGTTAGTTAGTAGTCGAAACTGTCAGGTATGAAAACAAACTTGGTCTGTAAAAAGAACCTAATGACACATGAAGCTGCAGTGTTCGTTAATGCTTTAAACAAAACAACCAAACCAAAACAATTCATCGCCATGTAACAAAACAAGTCACAATGTCAAATCAACACGAGTGAGTGGGATACATCTCAATGGCCACATGCGTCTAGTGCAGGTGAGAAGAAATGGCTCAAACCAAAGCAGCTGACATACACCTATACCAGAGCGACACAACTATCCCCCGAGAGAGCCGAAATCCGCTGAAACCCGCTGAAATCTGCTGAAATCTGCTGAAATCTGCTGAAATCCCACAAGACACCGACACGATACCAGACAGGACAGCGGCTCTTTCTGCAGGAGACATGCGCATCTCATAACAATAATCCCTGTTTAAAAAAGTGGACTAAGCGAGGAGCCAGTTTCTATATTATAAATATGATTTTCTGATGGACAAAATAGCGAAATATGATCCCGTAGAGCGGATTAATACGAACACTTCAAGACCAAAATGACGAGTCTCACAGCAGCAGCCACAGAGAGACGAGCCACAATATTCTAATGTAAATCAATTAATAAAATTACTTTTAAGGGCAATTTTGTTACAGAGCTTTAATAATCAATTTTATTCATTGTTTTGGTTGTGTTTGGTTCAACAATGGTTTATTCAAGTGCATTTTTTTTCACAAGTTCTTGCTGTAAACCAGACACATTAGGCTGTTCTTATGTTAACAAGTCTTTTATTTTATTTAGGTCTATTGTTTTTGGTTGTCTTGCAGTTCCTGTGTTAAATGTTCTTTAGAAAGTAAAGTTTATTGATCTTAAAGGGTGTATTTGCATTTTTATTCCATGGTCATTGTATTAGTTGAAAATGGTCTCAAAATGTCAATATTATCGTTTGTAACAATAATTTCTTGGTCAATTAATCGTCCAGGAAAATCTGTTATCTACTGAAAACCACTAATTGTTCAGTCGTTGTGATCGTTTTACTTGAAGGTTTGTGATTTAGTCCCAGCTCCATCCACTGCCTACTGTTGTCGCATCCTTGAGCAAGACACCTCCTCTACCTTGTCTAATATTAATGGTTCGTGTGAGTTATGTGTGAGTGATTACAGAGGCTGTTGGTAGAGGCTGGCCGGCCTCCACATTTCTGTCAGTCATAAAAGTGGCTTAGCACCAGCGAGTGTAGAGACTGAATGAATAATAAAATGTAAAGCGACTTTTGAGTGTCCATAAAATCGCCTTTTAAAATCGCTGGTTGTAAAAGTTGGATACTTGGGTTAGGCTCAATTTTCCCTCAAACTAATAAAAAAAACAGTATAAGGCGTGGGCGATATATGTGAAAAAATGAATCATGTTTTTTTATTTCTCATATTGACTGAGCTTTATTTTCAATTAGATTTTTTTTTTCTTTTTGAAATCGAAATAAAAAAAAGCTTTCAGTACTTGATTTCTGTGAACAAGGCAGACAGTGCAGTGCAGTTTAACCCCAAGAATTGCAAATTTTTTTCCACCAAAGCCCAAACTTTTCTCTGAAACATTACTCACGGACAATTGTAGACCTCTTGATTAATGTTCAAACTCAATTTTGATACTAAGGAATAGATTCAATACTCAATACCAATTCCAATACCATCATGATAATTAAAAAATAGAAAAACAAAACAGCTTTCCCAATAGAATGTGATTTTCAATATTAAATCGCAGTGCTTTCTTTTATATTACCACCTGGTTTAATATCTGTCTGTAATCCCTCTGTAATTCAGGTGGGTTTATACTAGTCTATTTGCTCTTATACTTGTTTTGATACAGCTCAAGATCATTCTCAAGCGATTCAGGAAAGGTTCATTTCTGACCTGCTGATGTGGCTTTTTTTTAATTATCAATACATGCTCAAATTAGTGTCGATACTAGTTTTAAAAGTCCAATGATGTTCATTTGGTTTTTTTGATAATTTATGGTATTTTTTCAGACCAAGAGTGTGTTTTTCATACCGGACAGTTT